GCAGATGTCAACAAAAGCTAAATGGCTGAGAAAGAAGAACATGGGGGTCTGAAAGTGAAGCGCAGACTTGATCACCAATATAACGGTTATGTTTCCCAGGATGGTGACTAAAAAAATGATCATAAATGAAAGAAGAAGAAAATCCTCTACATGTGGATCATTTGAGAGTCCCAACAGGATAAACTCTGTTATTAGAGTTTGATTTTTCAGCCCAGAGGAGTCAGCAAACATAGCATCTGTCAAAAAATAAGTTAATGTTATTGTATATAAAGATAAAAATGGACTTCAAGTAACCATATATATTAATTTGAGGATCACATTTTACTCTAGATCAATATGGAGACTTGTATTACAATGTATGATACTGTGTTTTCTCTTTTTCATATGTTTAGCCAAGTGGAAAATTGAAGTGTTTGCCTTTCTCATGTTAACAATGTGTTTAATTGATTGTTCTGATCTTTCAATTCATTGATTATACTAATTGCTATATGTTGTGAATGCTATTTACATTCCCATTTATGCATCTGTGACATGAGTGAAAGTCATACATCATGTCGAGATTAACTGTTCCAAAAAAAATGCTGATAGATGTTATTTCAGGCATCTGTTTCTTCAGAATGTCAAAATTGGGGGATTTCAGGAAGTTGAAGCACAAGATGGTAAATGGTTGTGCAATCAATTCTGCTGGGTTTTGCCAGACTCGTCCTCTTCTCTACAGGAATCCACTGATTTGCTCTTTCTGTATTCCATATGCATTTTCCCCATCTTTATTGTCCTGTTCCACCCTCTCCAAAAACTGTCATGCTGGTCATCCTGGATGTGATTATGTGGACATGTTCAGGTTGTTCCCCCCCCCCCCTTTGGCAGTAACACAAAAGTGATTTGTTATTTCCTTCTTCCAGAATGTTTTGTTCTTTTTCTTTTAACTTTTAAGCTGTTGGGTTTTTTTATTTTTTGTTTTGGCCAACTCTGAAATGCTAATTACATGTGATATATAATGCTTTTTGAGAGTAGCCAAGTAAGGCTAGATAGTGGGATCTGCTATGACAAATTAGAAAAAAGAAAATTTGGCATATTATTCAAATATTTTGTTTTTTGTTTTTAAATCTGAATGAACATCCTTCACAAAGGCAATGTCAGGCCCAGCCCAAAAACAACAGTGGAACAGTCCACTTGAGCTAAGTTCTTTTATTTACTTACAGCTTATAGACAGAATCTTGCCAGATTAAATCTATACTACTTCAACAAGTGGATATACCCTGGGACATTCTAGGGAGTGGCTATCCTGAACCTCTTTCACTTCCTTCACTCCTCCTGAAAATTGTGTTGTCTTTTGTCTCCTTTCCCTTCCTGGAATGTACCCACTCCTTCCTGATCACCCTGATCTCTCACAGCACACTCCTCTTCATAGATACTTTCCATTTTGAGTGGATTAAAACATTTTCAGCACACACCCACATTTGAGTCCTGTATTTTTACTCTGAATTCTTTTTAATATGTATCTGACATGGAACTCAACAAGGAGAAGGAGAAGGAGAAGGAGAAGGAGAAGGAGAAGGAGAAGGAGAAGGAGAAGGAGAAGGAGAAGGAGAAGGAACCCTGATTATAAATAATGAGCAGATCAAGCCTAGTGGAACCCTTAAAACAATATTCTGTGTCAGTAATAGTTAATTATAATAGCTGCAATGATCCAATCCATGTACTACTACGATACTAGATTTGATTGAGAAGTTATTTTAAGAAAGGCTTTCCATCAGTTTCCCAAAAATTCTTATCATTATTTCTGTGGAAACATTTTTAGGCTAAGCATGAAAAGATAACAAAATGGAGACCCAGAACTACCTTCTTCACATAGATAATATTGCTATCTTTCTTGCAAACACAGAAAGATTTTAAATGAGCAGTTACCTTGAAGGAAGCAGTTACCTTGTAGATTACAAATGCTTTGCATTTTAGTTTAGACTTTGCAACCTCCATGCTAAGACTGGGTGAGGCCACTTTGGAGCAAGATAATAAAAAGCGAAGGGAGCTGATCCTCCATTCCTTCTGGAATTCAAGCAATTAAAACCATCGGGGAATGCATATTCCCCAACCAATATTACTGTATGTACTGCTTAAATGAATCAATAATATCTTTTGCTCCCCCCCCCCCATTTCTCAATTGCCATAATGGCATCTAAAATACCTTTAATTTGTCTTTCATGTTGTGGGACAAGACAGGTTGGACTTTAGTAGGATTTACTATATGAGACAAAAATGGTATACCGTACGCCCTCATGTAGCAAATCAAAAGGGCTTTTCTTCTGCTTCACATAGATACTGTACTTTTTGAGGCACTGAAGAATTGCTTGTGAGTCTTTGGGTATAGAATATGTTCGTGTGCGTGTGCGTGTGCGTGTGTGCACGTGTACGCGTGTGCGCAATTATTTATTTATTTATTTAAAATATTTATATGGCTGCCCATCTTAAACAACTCTGGGAGGCTCAAAACAACATTAAAACCAGTAAATATAAAACAAACATAAGACAATAAAACAGTAAAACTATGAAAGGAAAACAAAAATCTTGTACTTTAATCATTGCTTTACGATGCCCTGTAGCATGCTCCAATTACCTTCATCCCATTCTTTTTTTTTTCTTTTTTTCCTATTCTGTTCTATCCCAGAACCTCAGTAAAAGGCCATGTCTTGATGGCCTTCCATTAGACTAAAAGGGTGGGGACCTACACACACACACACACACACACACACACACACAATCACATACAGATAGAGAAGCACTCTCAAGCAGTTCTTCAGTGTCACAATAAGTACAGCCTCTATGTTAAGCAGAGGAATAGCCCCTTTGATTTGTTATATTAGACTATACAGTATACCATTTTTGTCTCCTACTAAAGTGTAACTTGTTTTGGACCTTGTCTTGTCTCACAACATGAAAAACAAATTAAAGGCATTTGAGACATTTTTATGGCAATGGGGCGGGGGGGAAGCAAAAGATCTTTTTGACTCATTTAAACACTACATATTGTTCCTTGAGGAATATGATTTCCCTGATGGTTTAAATTGCTTAAATTCCAAAAGGAATGAAGGATCAGCTCCCTTCGCTTTTTATTATCTTGCTCCAAAGTGGCCTCACCCAGTCTTAGCAGGAAGGTTGCAAAGACTAGAGTAAGATGCAAGGTATTTGTAAGCTTCAGGGGAACTGCTTCCTTCAAGGTAACTGCTCATTTAAAATGTTTCTGTGTTTGCAAGAAAGATAGCAATATTATCTATGTGAAGAAGGTAGTCCTGGGTCTCCATTTTGTTGTCTTTTCATGCTTAGCCCAAAAACCTTTCCACAGAAATAATGATCAGAATGTTTGGGAAACTGATGGAAAGCCTTTCTTAAAATAACTTTTCAATAAAATCTAAACAGAGTAGCAGTACTTGGACTGGGTTATTGTGACGATTAGAAATAGACCATTACTGGCACAGACCCTGGTTTTAAGGGTTCAGTAGGCTTGTTCTGTTCATTATTAACAATCAGGTTTCCTTCTCCTTCTCCTTCTCCTTCTCCTTCTCC